AAATGGATATTCATATCATAAAATATCGAATCAAACGAAAAATTGTAAGAAAATAAAGTTCGAAAAAAAGACATTGGAATGAGGTTGAGATTGAAAAAAATATAAACAATCACAACTTTTCGTTTCACAATTAATGTAAAATTATTTTGATATTTAAAATTTATTGATCATATATTTATTATGGTCGCACTTCAACATTTCCAACAAATTTTAAATCGCTTAAAATTAATATTTGTAGTATAAAATATTGAATCAAACGTTTTAAAAAACAAACCGACTCAACCAAGTCGAGCCATCAAGCCATTTGGCTTGTAAATAGTAACCAAAACTAATCAAACGTAAAACGGGGGGAAAAAAGCGGCTTAGCCGAGCCGAGCCAAACCATATGGCTCTGACAAAAAAAAAAGGGAAAAAAAAACAAAAATGGCTTAGCCGAGCCAAAGCAAGCCATAAAATCTATGTAGGATACCGAATCAAAAAAAAAGCTTAGTCGAGCCGAACCGTAAAGCCATTTGACTGAGCTTGGCTTATGAACAGGAACCTGAAAACTCATTCTTTTATATATGTACCATAAGTTGTATAATTCCTATTTCCATAAAGAAACTTCCACAATTTATTTTCTAATTAATTTATATCACTTAGAAACTGATTAATATAGTTGACAATCATTGATACGACATTGAATAATTAAACATGGAATAAAAATTATTCAACCAATTGAGCGCCAGTTTGGGAGCCATTTTTATGGTTGGAAAGATCTATGGGTCCCATTTGTACATTAATTACTGACTAAACATGAATCAAGTTATCAGAATTGTCATTTCTAAAGAAAAATAAATTTTATGTTAAAGGGGCACATTAGTAATTTTAAGCCATTCAGTCAACAATTGTGGCTTCATGCACTATTAAACAATGTATAATGGCATGAATTTGGCTAAAAATTTGATACAAAATGGCTCTCGACAAGCGCTAACTAATTTTGCTCACTTAAAAGAGACTTTGAATTTCATTTATCTTCTACCTATATTAAAATAGCCAGTTTTTGGTTACTGTAGCTAAGTCGTCGTGGAGCCGAATGGCCATTCGGCTCGACTAAGCCGAGTGTGTGTGTATTTTTTCTCCTTCCTATACCCTATCTTATATCTATGGCTAGCCCATTGAGCCGAATTGCTATATGGCTCGGCTCGGCTCGGCTCGGCTTGGCTAAGTCGTCTGTTTTTTTTTTCTATACCCTATCCTATATCTATATCTATAGCTAAGTAGCCAAGCCGAATGGCTATGTGGCTCGACTAAACGGTGTTTTTTTTCCTATTCTATCCTATATCTATATCTATACATTGAATAAAAGCGCCGCCTAAGCCGAGCTCATTGGTTATATGGGTCGACGCTGCTAAACCATTTTTTTTTTTTTTTT